GGGAGAGAGAGATAGAAACATCAATGTGAGAGAGAAACATCGATTGGCTGCTTCCTGCACCCCCCCCCCCCCAATGGGTTCGAGCTGCAAGCTGGTTACATGCCCTGACCGGGAATCAAACCGGGATCTCTCAGTCCATGGGGTGACACTCAATCCACTGAGCCACACTGGCTGGGCTTCTCATGTTTTATTCTACTGGTTTGGGACTTATACATTTGATTTCTGTTATTTTAGTGGTTACTCTTAACATTTTTACATGCCTGTTTTGAAGTCTAAAGTTATTATCTTTAGCATCCTCCCAAACAGTACAAGACCATGAAATGCACCAACTCTGATCACTCTTTGTATCTCCTACATTATTATTGTTTACTATCTTTGTTCCTCATTGTCTTGAAACCCCCTGAATAAATTGCTTTTAACCAGCATTATTTATTTAGGTTTTACCAACATATTGGTCAATCTCTTTGATTATCACCACTTCTGGCATCACACCTTCCTTCTGGGTTCATTCCACTCATTCCATTAGCAAAACTGTTCAACCCCATGTATAGCTAAAGAGTCTTCAGGGAACGAAATCTATCCCACAGTGCTGATGTCAGGATTAAACAAAGTTATTTTTTGAAAGTGCTTTATAAGTTGCAAAACACTGTAAAAATCTAAGAGATTTATTTATTTATTTATTTTGCATTGAATATTTTCAGAGAAGTGATCTGATAAAATGTAACAAAAGCTAAAAAATTATACACAAGTTCCCTAGCATAAGGAAATATTTCAGAAATGATACAATGAGCTTTCTAGTAGCATTGTTTATAATTGTGGAATACTAGATACAACAGAAATGGTGAAGTAAATTGTGGTACATCAGTTTCATCTAATAACAGGTAACCTTTGAAATAACAAGTAGATACATGAAGTATTAATAAGAAAAAAGATAAACACGAATTGCATATATTCATTGATTACAAATCTGTAAAGTTGTCTATGTGTTAGTAAAGATTGGAAGAGTCATCAAAAAACCGATAGTTGCTAGGCCAAGGGGAAGAAGTTCTGTGTTTATTTTCCTATAATTGTGTTTATTCAATAAAAAAAGTATTTTAAACACATGCTTGAGGGTTGAAAGGATGGAGGTTTAGCCTGGCCCATGTGGCTCAGTTGATTGACTGTGGTCCCATGCACCAGAAGGTCACCAGTTCAAATTTCCAGTGGAGGGCATGCAGGAGGCAGCCGATGGATGTTTCTATCTCTCTCTAACATCACCTTTCCTCTCTCTGAAATCAATAAAAACATTTAGAAATAATAATAATAATGAGAAGAAGAAGAAGAAAGGATGGAGGTTAGAACAAGGTAAAAAAAAAAAAAAAAGAAGAAGAGAGATACTATCATTTTACATTTAGTCACCAAGAAAATTTTGTGCCATCATGCTCAATTGATTGATTAAAATCAGTTCCTAAAAAAGTCATTTGCCCTTAAATGACTACACAGTTAGTAAAAACCACAAGTATCAGTTTTTAAAAACGGGTTGCCAATTTGGAAGCCACTAACAGAGATAAAGGTTTTAGGGCAAAAAGGTGGATATTACCCACTAATACCTTTTCAACACTATTCAAAGTCCTTTTTCTAAATGGTGTAATTACTAATAATTCTTAGTTCTGTATACTGGTTGCTAATTTATTTCTGCTCTCCTAAAATAACTTGGATTTTTTAAAATACTCACCTGAGGATATTTTTCCATTTATTTTCATATAGAGGGGAGGGAGAGAGAGAGATATTAACTGGTTGCCTCCTGCACATTCCCAACCAGGGCGGGGGAACAGGCCGCAGCCAAGGTACATGCCCTTAACCAGAATTGAACTCGAGACTCTTTGGTCCTCTGGTTGACGCTCTAACCTCTGAACCAAACTGGCCGGGACATAACTTGGATTTTTAAATGCCGTGGTAGTTTTCATTGGCTTGGTCTCTAGCTTAGCCTTAAAGTTTTGCTCTATCTGTTTTTTAGGAGACCTGTCAAAGTTGTTTTTATTTCTTCAGACTCCTTGAGTTTCCACAGTATTCATATTAATTTGTTCAACTAATACAACCAAGTGCCTGATTCTTCATTCAGTTATTTATTTGTTCAATAAACATTGAGTGCCTACAATAGGTTGGCCTTGAAAATGAAGAGATCAATTAAATAAAATTCTTATTCTCAAGGAGCTCACAGTCTATGGTGAAGTCAAAAAGTCCCGAGTCTATGACATCCATGAGATGCAAAGTGTCTTTCATAATAATAGCAAAAACAATTACTAACTTTTTTCAGTGTGCGATATTATTTTTTATCCTCACTCGAGGATATGTTTATTGATTTTAGAGAGAGAAACATTGATGTGAGAAAGAAACATTGATGGGTTGCCTCCCGTAGTCACCCCACTCAGGAATTGAACCTGAAACCTAAGTATGTGTCCTGACTGGGAATCGAACCCGAAACCTTTTGGTACAAGATGACATTTCAACCAACTGAGCCACCTGGCCAGGGTTGTACAATGTTGTTTTTAATCTACTTTTTATTTTAAATTTTAGATTTGCATTAAAGTTGCAAGAATGTTATAGAGGATTCCTGTGTACCCTGCACCGTTTCCTCAGTTGTTCACATCAGTAGGGCACATTTGTCATGACTGAGGAACCCACACTGGCACATTATTAGACTCCACAGTTTCTTTGTTGGGGAGGTCCTTAGTTTTACCTACTGTCCTTTTTTCTGTTCCTGGATCTCATGCAGGTATCGTATTACATTTAGTCATCATGTCTCCTTAGGCTCCTCTGAGCGATGACAGTTCCTCAGATTTTGCTAGTTTTTGATGACCTTGACAGTTTTAAGGAGTATTGCTCAGGCATTTTGTCCTTTAATTTGGCTATATGTGATGTTTTCCTGATGGTTAAACGGAGCATATGGGTAAGAAGATGAAATGCCATTCTTATCACATCATATTAAGGGTACATGCTATTAACATGATTTATCAGTGTTGATATTGACCTTGATCACCTGGCTGAGGTTTGACTGTTTTCTCCATTGCAGAGTTACTTCTCTTACAACTCCTTTCCATATGGTACTATTTTTTTTAATTGATTTTTTTAGAGAGAGAGGAAGAGAAAGAGAGATAGAAACATTGATGTGAGAGAGAAACATGGATCAGCAGCCTCCTGCACGCCCCACACTGGGGATTGAGCCCGAAACCTGGGCATGTGCCCTGACCGGGAATCAAACCAGGACTTCTCAGTCCATGGGACAACACTCACTCCACTGAGCCACACCAGCCGGGCTCTTTTTATTTAATCGTTGACAGTATTACAGATGCCCCCCATCTTTCTTCCCCTTAACCCTCCTCTTCCCAGCTCCTTCCCCACCCCAGGCCTTCACTGCACTATTGTCTGTCCATTGGCTATGCATATATGTATATAAGTTCTTTGCATACCAACACAGAACCACTTTGGGACACTCACTGAAACCCTCCATTAAAAGCAAATGGCTTACAGTTTCATTATGTGTGCTCAGGCCAGGGAAGAAGACAGTGTGTGGTTTAGGAGGGGGCCTCATTTGCTCCCTTCTGGGATTACAGGTGTGAGTCTCAGGAACACAAAGGCTGATTCCTCTGACCATGCCTGGCCCACCCAGGGTGTGAAAGGACACCTATACCCTTGTCAGATGGAAGGAAAGGCCATGTCTCTATATTATGTGATTGTGATGGATACATATTGTTCACCTTCCCAGCATTCATATCCCTCTTACTACTACCTAAGACCCCAAATTTCTTAGGTATGCCATTTGGGTGGGATGAAGCCCACCTCCAGCTCCAGGGAAAGCCAATCAGCAGATCCCATAACCCTGGCCACCATTCAAGGGTGAACACGTGATACCTTGCCACAAGGAGGCTTTAGTCTAGAACTTTTTTTTAATCCTCACCTGAGGATATGTTTCTATTTATCTTCAGATAGAGTGGGAGGGAGGGAGAGAGAGGGAGAGAGAGAAACATTGACGTGAGAGGGACACATTGACTAGTTGCTTCCTGCGTGACCCCGACCAGGGCCGGGGACAAACCACAACCCAGGTACGTGTCCTTGGCCAGAATCAAACCTATGACTCTAGTTCGTGGGCCAACACGCTAACTGCTGAGCTAAACTAGTTGGCCAGGGCTGAAGTCTAGGACTTTTGAGTGAGTAATCAGAAAAGCACAATTTGCTTTCTCCTGCTGCTCAAGAACAGGGTACATATAGATCCAGGAGTTTTGACATCATCTTGAGACCACAGTGGGAGGGCTGCCTGAGACTGGAACCGGGAAGAGTCACTGAGGCATGCAAAATATAAAGGTACCTCCACACTGGACCATTTGGTTATATAATCTAATAAATTACCACTGGATTTTATCTTCCACCAGTCTGGGTTTGGTTTTTGGTCACTGGCAACACAAAAGATTCTGATCAAGACCCCAGTGAACACAACTTGGCCCCGCTCAGTTTTGAAGGTCTCTGCTCTAATCACCATCTACATACCAGTATTTTCCCTTTTGAGGCAAATCAATCTAGCAACAACCATGACAGAATTTAGTAGACCTGAAAAATAAAAAGTTCCTAATATTCGTGTATTTTAGCCTAAATTCTATTTAGTGGTTTACATCATACTTCTTTTTTTAATGTATTTTGTTTAAGAGGAAATTCAATCTTCTGTGTTTAAGAATGCAAATGTGGGACAATGATGTATCAACCCAAAGATTTTTTTTTTTTGTACTAGAAAATATTTTTGAAGGGGGAAAAACAGGGATTTTTATTATTAAAAGATAAAAGTAAAATTATTTTTTAAGATACAAGGCATTGGAAACATTTGGTTTCACAGCATGCCATTATTAGACATTCTCTATCTGATTGTTGGAAATTATTCATTTCCTCAAAGAGAGAGAATAAATTGACTGGGCATAGTCTTGTACAATGCACTTTCTTTGCCCAAGGCAATTGCTGAACATTTCAGAGCCATGAGAATGCTTCTGCTTTTGACTTTCCTAGCTCTTGGAGCGGCCAACGCTTGTGCTGTTGCCGTAGAAAGTCCCTTGAGAAGACTGGTGGCAGAGACCTTGACCCTGCTCTCTACTCACCGGACTGTGCTGATAGGCGATGGGGTAATTTTCTTTTTGAGTTTTATAGTCTTTAAAAGGCATTGGTACTCATTCATGTGATTAATTTTTAAAGATCTGTTATTAATAATGAAATTATGAGTGTTAGTAATGGATAATCGGTAACCATTTCTCAATCATTTTATTAAGTTATGAATGCTAGAGTGCTTTAAAAATGAATGTATTTCCTTTTCTTTTCAGAACCTGATGATTCCTACTCCTGAACATAAAAATGTAAGTTAAATTATGATTGCATGAATAAGTAAATTGCATATTGTAGGCTATAAAACAATAGTGATCATTGGAACTATTTGTGTTCTATGTTTTGTTTTCATGTGTGTGGTATGAATGTGTATACTTATAAATATTAGGAATGACTTTACAACAAGTAGAATTCATTAAACAAGGCACTTTAGGGATGTTGTCAGGTGAGAGGTGCCTCCTCATCTTCATTCAACTCTGACCATCTATTGCTTTACTCGCTTTACTGTCTTTTTGAAAGTATTAGCAACTTAGGGTAATATTTTTAGAATCATGGTCAGTGTACATTAAAATACACAATGACTGTTCTATATTAACAGTCATTTCCACATTTTAAAGTGATCATGGTATATAATGGAATTGTATACATTTGGAGTATGTCATGGTCATACTAAAATATAAAATATATGATTTCATTAGTCTAAATAGAATTAAAATACCAGCTAGAAATATAAAAGGAAACTCTGATGTGAGACTCAATCAGTAACGTAGTTGCATTATTCTTCCTAAACATTGTATTTTTGGTTAAGTATTTAATTTATATCATTTGTAAAACTCCTCAGTAATTATATAAACCTCACCTACTTTTAAACATTGTATCTCAATATGAATTGGTTGCTACCTAGAAAAGGAACAATTAAAAAACTCTTTGGAGAAATGAACTCATGTAAACACTACAAAACAAAGTCTAGCTTTTTGGACCAATTTTTATACCTTGATTTGATTACTTATATTTTTTAAATCTTCCTCATTTAGTACCAGCTATGCATTGAAGAAGTTTTTCAGGGGATAGACACATTGAGGAATCAAACTGCTCAAGGGGATGCTGTGGAAAAACTCTTCCAAAACTTGTCTTCAATAAAAGAATACATAGACCACGAAAAAGTAAGTGAAAAGCCTTTAGTGGAAACTTAAGTATATTTGTCTGGCTGTGCCTATTTTTATGAGTTGACAGGTTCCTACAATACCTCTTCTCTGTTCTTTTTCACAGAAAAAGTGTGAAGGAGAACGATGGAGAGTAAAAAAATTCCTAGACTACCTGCAAGTGTTTCTTAGTGTGATAAACACTGAGTGGACAATGGAAAGTTGAGACTGAACTGGCTTACTGTAGCAAAATATTTTGGCGAAGAAGGACGTTTTATTACCACAAGAATGAGGATCAACCAAGGGTGGGCCCTCACGTTCAGGATAATTCAGTTTCTGCGGCAGAGCGGCAGTCATTCCAGGCACACTGCTACTTCACTACCTCACAGGCAGAAGTGTCCGAACAAATATTCTGACTGTATCTCAGATATAGGAATCATGGAAGTGTTTCCCTCCAGTTTGCTCCAGGCCAAATAGATGTATACTTTTATCTTATTTAATGCAACATTCTATAAAATGTTTGTTAACTTAATATTATTTATGAAATGGTTAAGAAGTTGGAAGATTAATATTTATTATATGTCAGTCTGTGTTCCAATAAAACAAAAATAGACAACTCTGGTTCAATTAGTTGCTGGCCTTTGTCTTACTTTTGAAGGGAGTTCAGGCTGTGTGAGAACAGGGTGAATGTGGAGGGAAGGCCTGCATGTGTGCCCGGGGAGCACTCCCATCACCCTGGTGGCAGAAGTCGCAGGGTTGCTAGGCATATCACAAGAGGAAGTGATGGAGCAGTAACTAGGGGGGATGTGGGCAGCAGGGACACGGGCTGAGCCTGGGTGCCTCTCCATGGTATACCCAGAACCTAGGATGATGCAGGTTAAATGGTAGGTGATGAATGAATGAATGAATGGGCTTTCCAGGACTGACCACAGAATTAAAATGAGTTTCAAGGCTCCCCTTGGGAGGAAGACAGTGTATGAATCTGTAACTAGGTCTCATTTCATCTTATGGGAAAATTTTGGCTGACCAATTTTAATGCTGGTTCAGGGAAGAAGCCAGAAACCCTCTTTGTGGAGCTCAGAGCCCTGTGGCCTGGAGGAGTGGGTAGTTCTTCACTTCACCTGACATTGTGACATAACAAGAAGCACTGGTAGGCACTTATATCAAGAAGGCTGGTTTCTAAAGATCCCCACCATCTTGCATTCTCAGGGGGCAGAGGGAAAGCAGGCAGAGAGAGTATTCTTCTCAATACCATCATTAGAAGTCCCTCTGCTTGAGAAAATGTCTACAGGACATGTTTAGAGAGAGGAAGGGGGAGAGAGAGAGAAATATCGATTGGTTGCCTTCCATATGTGCCCCGACCGTGGATCGAACCTGAATGGGAATTGAACCAGCACCCTTTAGGTGCACAGGATGATGCTCAACCAACTGAGCCACTCCAGCCAGGATTTACAATATATTTTTTAACTGAGACCTGGAGGAGAGACTCAGTTACAAATATTTAGTTATGCCATCAATTCCTTCGTTCAGTTACTGATCACAGCCCCTACTCCGTGTGCTGGGATAGAGTCGTGGGCATGTGCTAAAGGTCCTTACAGAGGTGCCAATACCCGGGGCATTATCTGCATGGATTGCATGTGATGTGCTGACTGCTTGTGTGAAGCAAACTCTCCTATTGCTCCTGGGCATGGCAGGGGGCCAGAGCAGTCAACACGGATTCCCCGGTGAGAGAACGCAAGTCCTTCTGTGTACGAAGCTGTGTTTTCCTTCCTGCCCAAACCCAGCACTGTGCTGTGGCCCAGGTCCCCAACCTGTGCTCCCACCAAGCCCTAACAGCTGGAGCTGAGTCAATAAAGAGGAAGATAGGTCAGCACAGCACCAAACTGACTGCTCTAGAAACTGACAGGAAACAGGAAACTCAATTTCTGAAGAGACTGAATGTCAATTTAATTCAATCAGCAAGTACTTCTTGAGCTCCCATATGTTCCAGGACTGTTCTAGGCACTAGGACCCATCAGTGAGTACAAGAGACAAAATTACCTGCCCTTACAGACTTATGTTCTCTCTCAAAAATGGTCATCTTCCCACTTCTTTATTAAAGTCCAATATGGTTAATATGGATTTAAGACTGGAATATCCTATCTAAAGTCACACTGATGAACGCTTACAAGTCTGCCAGTTCTCAGAGAAGCTAAACGCAATCAGGGCTGTGTACAACTAACCAAAATAGAAGTGCTCAGATGTACCAAGGATTTTCAAGGCAGAAACTGTGACTCTCCAGCTGGCTCAGCTTTCCCTATAGAAGCAAAGCCATGCGTTACATCCATTGCCCCTCGCTCAGGCTTGACTGCTATGGGGCTTCAGAACCCAGAGCATCAGGGGAGAGGGATTTGGCAGGCTCCAAGTTGTAGGAATACTTTTGTGAGTCTTGCTTTTCCTCCCCAAAGCGTATCCCAATAATAGAGTATCTATTTTCATTCTTAGTGATGACTCTCTTGTTTCCAGTGGTGGGGGTGGGGGGCAGTGTACACTATTAGGCTGGTTTTTGAGAGACCTCCCCAGACAACACCTCAACATAATGAATCCAAAACCAAAGTCACTCTTTGTCCGCCATCCTCATGCGAAACTTGCCCCTCCCCTCTCCTTCTCTTCCTTTGAGGTTCCCCATTTTGGCTCATATAACCCTGATTTCCTCCTCATCACCTTTCTGACCAACTCACTGACATTTATCCTCAGTGACTTTTCATCCGGCACTCAGCCTCTGAAATGTATCTCTGATTCCCTGTCTCCATCCCCACTGCCTCTCACCTGGATGCAGCCATCACCAGCTCCCTGCTTTAGGCTCTCCCCATGTGTGTAAGTCAGAGCTGTTGATAAAATACTCATGACCCCATGTCACTACTGAGCATGAAAACCTCGGCTCACTACTATGTCAGGTCCAGGCTCCTCCACAGGCCATACCTCTGCCCCTCTAAGCGCTGCCAGAAATATAGCATCTTTCACGGAACATTGCTTGCAAGAAAATGCTAGCAATGAGCTTCATTCCCATTACTTAAAATGGGAACAATTTTAGTGCATTACATCTCAAATGAAAGTCCTCAGCCAATTTTCCAAAACATAAAACACAGTAAAATATCTGTCTATAAGCAATAAGCTAACATGTTAGGTTGTACAATATTTTTTTGGTATTTATTTATTCAGTAAACTGTGGCAAAATAAGGATGTAAAATATTTAAAGAACTACTATCTAAACACTAATCATTAACATGGCTGCTTTATCTCTATAACATGCTACAGGTCCCCTTAGCTGACCTTCAGAACCTTTCCACTTGTCTTCTGTGAACTTTGTTATGTTGCCAATTACTTTTGGAATGAACCTACAAACTTTCTCTGTTGAGCTCCCTCCCATCACTTTGTTAAAAATGCATCAGGTTTGGGGGAAAATAAATATAATATTTTCCTATATAAATACTGATAGACAGGCATTGTATTGAAAGACATTATGTTCTATGAAGAAATGTTCTGTGTGGAAAAGATTCATTGGGGAGATATCTATAGGGAGTTCTAGGTCTTATTCTTCCTGAAACACTCCAAGAATTTTCACACCTGTGTGCCTTTACCCACACTGACTCAGTACATCTGTCTTTCCCCACACAGGGAACACGGAATTGTCCCTTAGATGTTCATTCATTCCTCTTTCTTGGCTCTCACAGTCCAGCTCAAATGCCTCCTTCTTGATTCTTTCCTTGCCTAGCCTAGCGGTATCAATTGCTCCCTTCTCAAAGTCCTGCATTACTTTGAACATTTCTCTATCAGAGCTCTTGTTTTTATATTGCAGTGTTTCCAGATACATCTTACACATCTCTGTACATGTATCACAGATTAGTCCAGGTGATGCTGCAGTAACAAATCATCCCTGAATCCCAGAGTGGGGGACATAACAAAAGTTTGTTTCTTAATCACACAGAGTCTACCATGGGTGTGGTCCTGGGCAACCCCTCAGAGCAGCTGTCCTCTAGGAGTCGGCTCTGCATCCCAGGATGCTTTTGTCTTATGATGTCTCCATATCCAGAACTGCTTCTGCAATTCCCATGGCAAAGAACAAGAGTCAAGCATCCGTTCTTAAATATTCCCACTCACATCACATTAGTTAGAGAAAGTCATGCTGTCATGAGGAAATTCAAGGGGAAGAGGAAATACCATTCCCCGTGTACCCAGAAGGAGAAGACAATCAGAAATACTGAAGAGTAGCAATAATATCTAACACAATAGACCCTCATGTTCACAGCGTTCCAGTGCTTTGCTGAGGGAGAGGAGCAAACTACCACTTACTGACCACCTACTCTGGATTAAGACTTTCCTAGACACTGTATATCAGCATCTCAACTAATTCTCATCACAAAACCATGTAAGATAATATTATTCCTTTTTTATTATATTATTCCTAGGAATGGAATCAAAGGCTCAAAGAGTTTATTTACAAGTTCACACAGTTAATATGGAGGGATTCAAACCTTGGTATGTCCTATTCCAAATCTCCCATAATTTCTGAGAAAGTCTTACTCTCCTGGCCTTCAGAACTCAGGCTGTTTCTGGGGCCCTCGGCACAGTTAATGGCACCGGTCAGTATCTACGAGAGGAAGAAAGGAGGAAGAGCGAGTGGAGGGAGACAGAGGGCTTCTTTGTAGAATCCCATCTGTGCCGCCTGTTTTTGCCTCCCACTGTGGGTTGGCAGAGGCACAGGCGTGTTTCTTTGGTTTTGACCTCATCTATCAGTTCACCAGATCATGAGGTCTGTTTTCTTCCAAACTGTCCACCTGACCCAGTGAGTAATGAGAGGAGGTGACACCTGAAACTAATATAATTGAATGTCAAGTACAGTTGAAATTTTTTTCCTAACTTTAAAGAGGGGGAAGCTAATCCAAGTCCATAAGACTAGACCTACAGAGACAGGAAACGTTCAATCCACCCGTAGTCGCTGCCTCCATACTTTACTTAGCTCTGTAGCCAGTACCGTGGTGGTTAGCAGGAGCCAAGAAAGCTTTGAGGATAGACCCTGTACCTTTCTGAAACAAGCCAGTGAAAGCCAACATGATAACACTTTCAAGGTGAAATGCTCAGGGCTGTGGCCAGTATACTGACAACTGGTTCCCAATAAATTGGACCATTCTCATGTCATTGGACCAAATCTCAGTCATACTAAATCGCAACCATATGATACACCACAGGTACTCAGGCAACCTGAGTAGATGGTTGTGA